AAGTCACCGAACAATTGGTCCATGACGCCCAAGATGGCCTTGAATCGGCCGAAGACGAGCCCAAGACGCGCCACGAGGCGTCCAAGAGCACCCCCTCGGGGCGCCCAAGAATAAACAGATAGTCGAATTCATCCGGTAAACGTAGACCTGTTGCATACACGACACTTGAGATTTCACAGCGACCAAGACGTCCCAAGAGGCCCCAAAGACCGCCCCAGAGGCACCCAAGAGGACCACAAGACGGCCCAAGAGGGCCCCAAGACGGCCCAGGATGCCCCCAAGACGGCCCCAAGAGGGCCCACGAGGGGGAACACAATCCGAAAATCCGAGCCTTCCGCCCGAAGAGCCACCAAGGAGGCCGCAAGAGGTCCCCAAGAGGCCCCAAGAGGTCCACACGAGCCAAAAGAAGGGCCCCGAGAGGCCCAGAAGCAGCCCCCACAGAGGCCTCAAAAAATGTCCTACAGGACGCGGCCGAAAGGCCTCGACGAGATCCCAACGAACATCCAAGAGGCCTCAAACACACAACCCAGGCACGGTTCGGCGGCGCGTGAGGGGGGGAAATGAGAAGGGGAAGGCCCTCTCAGAAGGCGGCGGGACTTCGCAGAAGCCCCCGCGCCATCTGAGAAGTTTCCTGTGCCTTCGGGGAAGGCTTAGAACACTTCTCAGAAGTCCGGGGGACGTCCGAGCCTTAGTGGGCTCTGGAAACGGCAAGGCCGTTTTTGTTACCGGTTCCGTTTTGCCGTTTTTTTGTCGGTCCCGACGCCGTATTTTTACCAGTTCCGTCGCCGTTTTTTGACGGGTTCCGGCTCCGGTTCCAATCCTGGAGCCGTTTTCTTGCCGTTTCCGGTCGCCGTTTTTTTGCCGTTTCCGTTTTCAAGGGACATTTGTTTGGAAACGGTGAAAAAACGGCCCTGCCGTTTCCGGGGCCCACAAAGGTCCGAGCCTTCTGAGAAGGCCCGCCCCTTCTGACTTCCCCCCGGGCTCGCCGCCGAACGGTGGCGGGATCTGCCGACGGCCCTTCGATAACAGCTCTGCAAGCGACAACGAGTGAGTGCTGCGCCGACGAGCTCCCAGCGGCAGCATGTCATCGACTTCGTCCCCCGTGCGATCCAAAAGATCCGCCCCCGACCTCCGATTGAGCAGGGACCGACCGTCCCGGCATTCCTACAGACCTACCACGCAATGTTCTTATCTATAGAGCCCAGAAATGTTATAAAAAACAGCAGCAATGTTCTTAGGACACAAGCCCGACTTGTTAGAGTAAGACAGTCTCGGCCACAAATGTTCTAAGAACACCCCGCGCAGACCACAAAAAGGTTCTCAGAGCACTCTTTGGTGGGCTCCTGGCAAGCAGGGATGCTTCGCCCCTGCTTGAGGTCCGAAGCACCATGTCCGTGCCGGCTCGTTTGCTTCTCCGCCCCCTCCCTGGGAGTGCGTGCCCTCCAGCTCGAGGGCCAGGCGCCTGGCGTCCCGGAAGCCGTCCAGGGACGCGCGGTCGTCGAAGAGGGGCTGCGCGTCGCCGGCCATCAGGGCGTAGGAGGGCCACCGCGCGGAGAAGGCGACGAAGGCGGAGTCCTCGCGGGCAGGGAACGTAGCCATCTGATGGGCACCACCACCACCATGAGTTGGATGTGGGAGGAGGAGGAGGAGGAGGAGGAGGAGGAGGAGGAGGAGGAGGAGGAGGAGGAGGAGGAGGAGAAGAGGAGGAGGAGGAGGACCCCCTCCCCCTCCTAACTTGTGGTGGTGGTGGAAACCAAACCCATCACCATCCACGGCCTCGCGGGCCTGGCCCCGGAGCCGCGACCCCAGCATGCATGCGGCCCGCTTTGTCGCGGAGGCCCCGCGAGGACCCTCTCCGTGCGGCTGCGTGCGTACCGTATGGGCTCGCGCCCTGGAGTCCGGACCGCGAGAGCGTGGACCTGGGCACGTTCGCCGCTCGTGGGATCCGGCGCCGAGCTCTCCAGGTGGAACAGCTCGCCGGGCGCTGGCAGGAGCGCCCCTGGCCCATCCCTACGGAGGATGGGGGGCGTCGCAGCACAATCCTCGGCGGTGTATACTCGGCCCTCGGAAGCTCCTTCCTGGCCCCGGGGGCCAGCACAGAAGAAGAACCAACGCCACAAACATACACTCTGGGCGCTCCGCGAGGATGTCTTGGATCTGCGCTGGACCCGCCTCCCTGGCGCGCGGAGCGCGCTGGGGGTGGCATAAGAAGCGCCGCCTGCAGGGGTCCAGCGCGGATCCAAGACAAGAAATCTGCGCGGAGCGCCAACAGTTTATGCTTATGCTGTTTTTCTTCTTCGATAGCAGCGAACAGCTCCAGACTGAGGCAGGCTGAGGCTGAGGCCGAGGCAGGCTCAGGCCGAGACAGGCTGAGCTTGAGACTGAGGCTGAGGCTGAGGATGAGGCCGAGGCAGGCCGAAGCTGAGACAAGGTGAGGCTGGGGAAGGGGGGGGGAGGAGGGGAGGCTGAGGCAGGCTGAGGCCGAGGCAGGTTAAGGCCCAGGCAGGCTGAGGCTGAGGCTGAGGCAAGCCGAGGCATGCTGAAGCTGAGGCTGAGGCTGAGGCTGAGGCAGGCTGAGGCTGAGGCAGGCTGAGGCTGAGGCTGACGCAGGCTGAGGCCGAGGCAGGCTGAGGCTGAGGCTGAGGCAGGCTGAGGCTGAGGCCGAGGCAGGCTGAGGCTGAGGCTGAGGCAAGCCGAGGCAAGCTGAGGCTGAGGCTGAAACTGAGCCAGGTTGAGGCATCCGTAGGAATCCATAGGAATCCTTGGGAATCCTTAGGAATCCTTGGGAATCCGAAGGCATCCTTAGGAATCCGTAGGCATAGCGAAGCATCCTCAGGAATCCTTAGGAATCCTTAGGATTCCCTAGGAATCCTTAGGAACCCCTAGGAATCCCAAGGAATCAGGAGTCCGAAGGATTCCTAAGGTTTCCTATGGATTCCTAAGGATGCCTAAGGATGCCTTAGGAATCCATAGGAATCCTTGGGATTCCATTGGATCCATAGGATTCCTTGGGATTCCATTGGATCCTAAGGCCGTTGCCACTGCGACTGTCATTGCGAATGCGACTGCGACTGCGAGAACAGCAGAATACAACTGGATTCTCACCTGAATCTTAAGGGGAATGCTTCCAAATATGCTTATACACATCGCTGTTAGGTTGCTTTGCCGGGATATCTCTTCTTCGATAGCAGCGAACAGCTCCAGATGAAAAGCCTGTCCCCGGTCCCCGGGGACGAGCCATCGGTCGGACGTCCATTCCCTGTGCTTTTTGCAGTTTCGTGCGTGTTTTTTTGTCGCCAAAGGATCAGGGATGCTCCTCGACGGTCCTCGCCGAAGGAAAAACGCACACGTCCGAGCGATGCCCGGGGGGAGGAGCTGCGGCGCCAGAGGAGAGGGCGAGGTGTCTGCAGCCTCGGGGGCAGCGCTCGCTTGGGCTGCGAGGGGGGCCTCTTGGGGGGGGGGCCTCCTGGGGCAGGGGAGGCCGCCAGGCGCCCGAGGCGTTCGTCCCCCGGTGGGCTCAACGACGACCGCGATCACGACCACGACAGCGACCACGATGACGACCACGCCGACGACCACGCCGACGACCACGACGACGACCACGCCGACGACCTCGGGGGCAGCGCTCGCTTGGGCTGCGAGGGGGGACTCTTGGGGGGGGGGGCCTCCTGGCGCAGGGAAGACCTCCAGGCGTCCGAGGCTTTCGTCCACCCGTGGGCTCAAAGACGACGGCGATCACGACGACCACGACAGCAACCACGATGACGACCACGCCGTCGCCCACGCCGACGACCACGACGACGCACGAAGCTCCTAGGCCACTCCTGGACTGAGCTGCCCCGATACGCATACGCGACGCGCAGCACGCAGCGTATTGCTACGCAGGCCGGCACGTAGACGGAGCGCGTGCGTTTGGAACGCGGGCGCTCTGCACACGGCACACGTTGCGCTTCAGAACGTGCGCATCCGCGCAGCTAAGATCGTGGAGCTTCGCGCGCCGCCCTTCGTGTGCATCGAGGCCGTCGGGGCCTCTGCCGCTTCCCCGGGGCAGCCCCCGGGAAGCCCTTATAGACACCCTGCTTTTGTCTTGCCGCCGCACGGGCCTCGACCCGGGGTGCGTTCTGCCCAAGACTTCGAGGCGAATCCAGCGGTGGCGACGAGGGCCTCCCAGGAGTCCGCAAAAAGGGGGACACAACGGGGGAATGGTGGCGGAAATGAAGGATGTGCTTTGGCGTCGGCCCCGCGGGATGTCGACTAAGACGAAGCAGGGATTAGGAGAAATCCGGAGGTCGATGCATCGGGAATCTCTTAGGGCTGGCGGGTCTGGAGAATGCCTCGGGCGCCGAGGCCGTTCCAGAGCGCTTCGGAACGCCCGCGGACGTATACCTTCGCCCCATTCCGCTGGCTCCCGCCGGCGGACCCGTCGCCGGCGTTCTTCGGCTGCTTCCCGCTGGCCTTCCGCCAGCTTCCGCCGAGGGCACGACGCGCCAAAGGCGAGGCCCTTTCTGGCACACCGCGCGGGGGGTCCGTGAGGTGGGCGTGTGGAAGTTTTTTGGTTTTTGTTGTATTTTGCTTTTTGTTGCTCCCACCTCCCGCGCGTTAGACATCCGGGTTTTTTTTTCTATCAGTCGCGTCGCCGTATGGGTTGCATGTCCTTTGTTGCACCGTGCGCTGTCCCTACTTTTGTCGTCGTGTGCTGCCTCATTTTATATATATATATATGTATATGAATGGTCGGCTGGACCGTGAGGGGAAAAACACACTTTTTTTGATCTGCGGGGCGAGAGCGAACCTCTTCCGCTAAAAGCTAGGCGGGCTACGCACAGCTTTAGCTAGGCAGAGAAAGGGCGGGAGAAGGCGGGGCCTCACGCGGCCAGGGGCGGGCGAAGAGGAAGCACACACAGATGGGGCGTGTAGAAGGGGCGGGCCCTCCTCGTCGGCGCCCAGCGTCCCGAGCCGTGTCCTGCAGGCCCGGGGGCCCCGCAGAGGCCCCCGAGACCACTCCCAAGAAGTCCGAGCTCTCTCGCTATTCCTGGCCCTCAGAGGAGCAGAAAGCCCGACCCTTCGAGCCAGACGGAGACCTGCAGAGCCTTCCCGACCCTGAGGAACAGAAAACCCGACCCTCAGGAACAGAAAACCCTCAGGAACGGAAAGCCCGACCCTTCGAGCCAGACGGAGACCTGCAGAGCCTTCCCGACCCTCAGGAACAGAAAACGACAGCGGAGGTCCCCAGACAGCCCGACCCTTCGAGGAGCAGAAGACGGCATGAACACAAACGCTCGCCAGTCCGCGCGGATTTCTTGGATCCCACCCTCCCTGGTGCACGGAGGCGCCGCCAGGGTGGTCCAGCGCGGATCCAAGGAATCCGCGCGGAGCGCCAAAAGTTATTGTTGTGCCGTGCGTTCTCCTTCGACTTTCGTTTTTTTGTAATAGGAGGTCACCAGAAATCTCGACCCTTGCTCCAGGGGCTGCTGCATGGGCCAACTCTTGCCCATTCTGCTGGATGGGCCTCTATCTCCTCCTCCTTCTCCTCCTCCTCCTCCTCCGCCTCCTCCTCCTCCTCCTCCGTCCTCCATCCTCCGTCCTCCGTCCTCTGTCCTCCTCCTCCTCCCTCCTCCCTCCTGCTCCTCCTCCTCCTCCTCCTTCTCCGCCTCCTCCTCCTCCTCCTCCTCCTCCTCCTCCTCCTCCGTCCTCGATCTCCGGCCTCCATCCTCTGTCCTCCTCCTCCTCCCTCCTCCTCCTCCCTCCTCCTCCTCCTCCTCCTCCTCCTCCTCCTCCTCCTCCTCCTCCTGACACGCAGCGCAAGCTGGCTGCCGGGCTGGGCCAGGGCCGCCCCTGGCCACGCCCGGGCTCGGTGAGCACCTGGAGGGCCGGCTCTCCAAATGACGACCTGCCAGACCACCCCAAGCCAACCCGAAGACCCGAGTTTCGGGTTGGGGGGGGTGGGCACGGGCTTCCTATATGTTGTTTCGATGTTCCCCGAGCCCCCCCCCCACACACACTGGAAGTGGAGGGCAAGCCGAAGCTTTCGGGTTGGGCTGGGGTGGTTTGGTGGGTGGCGACGAACGGGGTCGGCGCAGACGGGGGTCGGAGAGTCGCACGGGGCGGGGAGCATCGGGCTGCGGATCGACCCGCGCGGCCGCGTGGCCGATGCATCGCCGATGCGGTGCGACCCAGACTCCGGCTGAGCGGAGACAAAAAAGAGGCCTTACGCGAGAAGGCATAGCGACCTGGCGCCGCGGCTTGCGCGGGCTGCCAGCGTGGCACACACCGCGTGGAAGAGGGGAGGGCTCCCCAGCGACCTTGCGGGGGAAACTTGCGCGCGGATGTCGGCATCAGTCGAAGCCGTTGTTGTGCGCCACTCCTCGAGCTTCGGTAGGTCGATTTTGCCCGACGGGGCCGTCCGCTAACGAGGCCTGTTCTGAGATGTTGCTGGACCTCCCGCTGCAAACGTCTTACGAAAGCTAAACCATCTGAACTCATGCCAGGACCGTAAACAATCGGAGTCCCAGCCAAACTCTGGCCAATTCGGCACTTTTCGTCCATTATGCAAAAAAGAGTGCAGATGTGAAAGCTGGAAATGCCATGAGAGTGGAAGTGACCAGGGGTGGAACAACTTGCAGGGCTGAAGCGCGCCCGAAACAGCTGGGACGAGGTCGCCCCAGGGCTCAATGACGACAGTTATACAATGTCTCGGCTGGGCTGGCCAAACTGCTTTTCTCAACTTCAACTTTCTGTACTACCCCGAACTTGAAGGTCGCATGTTGTACCACGTCTGGACCTTTTCCCTGGGACCCGCTTTTCATGTCAAGTCGTTTCTAGACAGCCTCAGCTCCAGGCGAAAACCTGCGAGGCCCACAACTGCCAAAGCCCTCACGTCTCAAGTTTCTCCCACGACCGACGAGCAGACTTCCGGTCCTCGGGCCACTGTACGCGGGCCTCCAGCGGTCCTTCGGGGCGATTCCGGCGCCCCCAGGACGCTATTGGCGAGGCTCAGCCGCTGCAGAGCATCACGAGGCGGCAGGCCTCCGGGAACTCTGGGGACGCTGCACACTTCCAGCGCCCCAGAGCGCTCTCGGCGAGGCGCAGCTGCCGGCAAGCACCACGAGGCGGAGGCCTCCGGGAACCGACGACGACCCAGACATCCGACGATGGGATCTCTTCCCTGTGCAGCCCCAGAGAGGTCCTGAGCCCGTGCCCAGGAGTGGTCCATGCGCTGATGGCCCCGAGGCCATGCAACTGGCCCCAGAGGCCGAAATCGGCACAGCGCGCCCAGCCTGAGAAAGATACAGGTCGTCGGAGCTCTGTCGGCGGCGCGCCCGCGGGGGAGAGTGAGAAGGAGCAGGCGTTCTCAGAAGGCGGCGGGGCTGCTCATAAGTCCCCCGTGTCCCCGGGGAAGGAATAGAGAACCCCTCGGAGGGCCCGCGGGGCCTGGCCGAGCCCTCTGAGCAGCCCCGCCCCCTCGCACTCCCCTCCCCCGGGGCCCGCCGCCGAATCGGGGGACGCCGCCCGAACACTCGACGCCGAAATCGGGGGACGCCGCCTGGACAAAGACCGACCCTCGGTCGGGATGAGCCCAGGCCTCGCAAGGGGGGGGGGGGGGGCAGCCGTTTGGAGAGGCCGCGCGGGGCACCGCGAGCGCCGCACGCCCGGGGCCCGGGGCCAGGCAGACCTGCGGGAGGTGCCAAGACTACGAGCAGCCGTGGCACGACGCCGCGGCGGGCCCCTCGGCGCAGCATCCTCGGACGGAACACCGGGGGAGCCCCTCGGCGCAGAGTCCTCGGCGCAGCACAGCGATGGGCTCGCATCGGCGTCGCGTCGTGGCGGCACTCCTTCGCCGGAGCTGCCAGGCAGCCTCCTCACCCCCAGGGGGAGGAGGAGGAGGAGAAGGAGGAGGAGGAGGAGGAGGAGGAGGAGGAGGAGGAGGAGGAGGAAGAGGAGGAGAAGAAGGAGAAGGAGGAGGAGGAGGAGAAGGAGTAGGAGGAGCGTCGAGGAGGAAGAAAGAGGAGGAGGAGGAGGAGGAGGAGGAAGGAGGAGGAGGAGGAGGAGAGGAGGAGGAGGAGGAAGAGGAGCGTCGAGGAGGAGGAAAGAGTAGGAGGGGGGAGGAGGAGGAGGAGGAGGAGGAGGGAGGAGGAGGAGGAGGAGGAGGAGGAGGAGGAGGAGGAGGAAACGTAGCAGGAAGGGAGCGGGGGTAGGAGGAGGCGGATGTAGGGGGGAGAAGGACCGATCCCCTACGCCCCCTGTGACTGCACAAATGTTCTGCGTTTTCCCGTCCCCCTGATGGCCCAGCGGCCGCCGCACAGCGCCCGCTCCACGAGCCACGCCTCCGCCGTGGCGGACGCTGCGCCCGCCGGCTTTGCGCCGAGCACCTGCGCGGGAAGGGGGAGGCCCTGCTCTGGCCACGAGGAGCGCAGGGAGGCAGGGGGGGGAAGGGTAGGGCGGGAGGAGGGAGGCAGGAAGGGAGGAAGGAGAGGTCGTCGTCGTCGTCGTCGTTGTCGTCGTAGACGTCCTCCTCCTCATCCTCCTTCTCCTCCTCCTCCTCCTCCTCCTCCTCATCCTCCTCCTCCTCGTCCTCCATTCCTTTTCTTCATGCATAACTGATCCGATGCCAATGTTTAGGACAAACCGGGCGTTTCGCCTGAGACTTCCTCACCACTTTTGACCCTGAAGCTTCAAGCATGACAACCGTTTCACAGATGGAGGGCAGGTGGTTTGAAACATGAGGCTCTCGCCTCAGCGCCGCGCGCATTCGTTGTAAACATGCGCAATAGGTTCACTGTTTAAAAAAGAATGTCGTTCAAACTGTGGCTCCCGCCTTCGCGCCGCGCACATTCGCTATACAAAGTTTGCAAGGGCTTCACGGATTTAGGGCGCTTCCTGTTTTGAAATGGTATGTTCGCCTCAGCGCCGCGCGCATTCGCTTGTTTATGAGGGTGCAACAGTAACATTGATCCACGGTGTTGAAGTCCCAAGAATGAAGTTCTGGCACGATTCAGGATAGTCAAGACTCAACACTCAAGTTGATTCGTGGCGTTGGAACCCCGAGGACAATTTTGTGGCAGGCTTCAGGGTCTTCAAACGGTTGACTTCCAACGAGGCAATTCCCTAAGCGGAACGACCCGTTGTAGGGGCCGCCCCTCCTCTGCCTCCTCCTCCTCCTCCTCCTCCTCCGCCTCACCATTCTTCTTCGCCATCCTCATATTCCTCCCTTTCCTCCTCTCCTCCTCCTCCTCCTCCTCCTCCTCCTCCTCCTCCTCCTCCTCCTCCTCCTCCTCCTCCTCCTCCTCCTCCTCCTCATCATCATCATCATCATCATCATCATCATCATCATCATCATTAGCATCATCCCTTATCTTCCTTCGCCTTCTCCCTTTTCGCCTGCTTTCTCTCCTACTCCATTCCATCGCCGAGCTTCCCCCCCGGGGGGGATGCGAAAAACATTCGTCGCACCCTACAGGGGCTGCACTGCGCACTTGCAGGGGAGGGCAGCCCCCGTGCACTGCACGGACCTGCGGTCGGGTGGCATGAAGGAAGGAGGGTTTGGGGGCGGTAGGGGGAGGAGTGGGCAAGGGAAGAGAGAGGAGGTGAGGAAGGGGGGGGGGAGGAGGGGGGAGAAGGGGGGAAGGGGAGGGCGAAAGGGGGAGAGGGGGAGGAGGGGGAAGAGGGGGGGAAGAGGAATGAGGGAGAAGAGGAAAGGGGGAGGGATGGAGGCTGGCCGGGAGTTTTTTTATGTGGACGTGGGCTGACGTCTCTTTAGCCTCAGCTCCCAGCAGCAGAGGCCGCCCGAGGGAGGCGACCAGTGGTCATCATGCCGAACACAAGCGCAGGGCGTGCGCAACATACACAGCTGAGGAAGTGTCACGGCCACATGTCTTCTCATGGGCGACCAGCCCTGGTCCAAGATGAACGTGGGCCAAGACCAGATCGCATTCACAGTTTTTCAGGTGACCTTGGGGCTGCCTCGGCCTGGCCCCTGCCTTGGCCCCTGCCTGTGCCCAGTTTTGCGCGTGCCCTTGCCTGCTCCTGCTGGCCGTCGTCGCGCCTTAGCGCTGCTTCTGTCACGTCCAGCCCCCGCCTGCCTGTCGCCGCTGGCCCACGGCCGCCGCACACCCGTTGGCCCGCCCCCACTCGGGCCCGTGGCAGCGCTCGCGCATGATGCGCGAGCGTGCCACGAAACAGACAAGAAAACATGGACGAGGGGCAAGGGTGAGACATGCGGATCGACGAACAGCCTTCACTCTTACCTCGGGGAGTTGGAGGGTGAGGGGGAGGCCGAACCGCCCCCTCCATGGCCGCAGTCGCCCGGCGCACCCGCGTTCCAGTCAGCACACCCGTCGCACGTCTCGTGGCCCCAAACGGAACCCCACCGTGGGCCCCAGCTGTCACCAGTCGCGCGGCGCTTCCGCCGTTCGGCGCAACTCTCACGCGTTCCGCACCCCATAGGGGAGCGCCACCGTGGGCCCCAGTGGCAGCGGGAGTGCCTCGGCCCAGGAGTAAATTGCTTTGTTGCACCCTCCTTGGCGAGCTGAAAGCGGCGTGCGAACCAGCCGACAGGGCATCAGCAAACAAACATGACAATTAATTCTGCGCATCTGGGAGCTGACGCAACAAACATAAAACTGAGTGTATCAAACATGAACGTTTGTTGTTTATTATTATTCGTGTTATTATTGTTGTTAGTAGTATTGTTATCATTATTATTCATTCGTATCATCATTATTATTATCATTATTAACATGAGTATTCTCCTTCTTCTTCTTATTATTAGTATTATTAATATTATTATTATTTTTATCAATATATAATATACAATATAACCATCATCCCCGCGGGACCATGCCCCACCCCAGTCGGGCTCTTCCCCCCCGCGGGAAGCCCTTCTTTCCGCGCACGGCGCAGCGAGGCGGGGGGGGGAGGGGACTCCGGGGGCTCCGAGAGCCGGGCCCCTCGGAGCCTAACACACAGCGAGCGCACGTGGCGATTGCGAAGCGGATTAGGGCTGTTCCCGTACACGTCGTTCATTTCTAATCGTGCTCAGCTCTGATTGTGCTCGTTTCTGATTGTTCCTGGCCCCCTAGTGGCCAAGAAGATGCCCAGGATAGAACAATCAGACATGACAGGATCTCGGCCCCCAACAAATCCAGGACTTTTCGAAGAGTTAGACATGAGCAACGTGCAGGCCTTGGAGAGGGTCAGCCCCCCGCCCGCGCTTGCCGCTGCCACGTTGGAGGGTTGGGCCGGGCGGGCGGAGCAGTCCCTCCGCGGCTAGTCCCCTCCGCGCAGCGCCTGCGTGTCGAAGACGACACAACCCTGTCAGCTGGGCGCGCGCGCAGCCCCAGTGGCGCGCTCTGGTCGGCTACACGGCAAGAGTGACCTTCTCCATCACGAGGGGAGGAGGAGGAGGAGGAGGAGGAGGAGGAGGAGGTGGAGGATGAGGAGGAGGAGGACGAGGAGGAGGAGGAGGAGGAGGAGCGAGGAGGAGGAGGAGGAGGAGGAGGAGGAGGAGGAGGAGAAGGAGAGGAGGAGGAGGAGGAGGAGCGAGGGTCGGTTACACGCAAGAGTGACCCTGGGTAAGCTTGACCTTTGGTGCGCGGCTTTTTGGGAAACGCGGGGAGAACAAACCTGAGCGCGCGAGCCGCTGCTACCGCTTCGTTATCAGCCATCTGAGGGCCCATCTGTGCCCGCACCAAAGGTCACTCCGGCGAAAGGGCACTCTTACCTCTAGTCGATCCGGTGCCTGCACAATCCCAAGTTCCCAGCCCCACCGGTTACCAGATAGCGAGGCGCAACCGCGCTCCCGGCGGCCCAACGGATGTCGCGTTGGCGCGGACGCAGTCCCAGTGAACGCGGTTCCAGGGTCGACGCGTTCGCTCGGTCGGGCTCGACGTTTGCTTTCGGGAACCATGAGGGCGAACTTTTGGTTTCGCCTCGGGGGCTGTTGGCTTCGCCTCGGGGGCTGTTGATGCGATCTGGTTTTGGCCCACATTGATATTGGACCGGGCCTGGTCGCCTATGATATTCAGACGTGGGGGGGAGGCGGGAGAGGAGGGGGAGGAAAACCAGGATTTACATAGATAGGAGGGAAGAGGGGCGGTTGGAGAGGCTTCAGGATTCTGGAGGGGCCTGGAGAGGTCGACGAAGAGGGAGGGGATGCCGACGAGGAGGAGAACGAAGAGGATGACAGGGAGGTTGGGAGGTCTAGAGAGGAGGAAGGAGGGAGGTCCCAACTGCCCGCCGCCCACCTACGAGCCCATCTCGCCCGCCGCACTAATAACTCAGCATGCAGGACACGGGCATTCAAGAAACTGGTGTATGACTGGTGTATGGACATCCTTTGCCTTTTGTTCGGACCCTGGGGGCAGCAAAGGGCACCGCATGAAAAGCTGGCGGCCAATTCTTCGCCCTGGTCTGTCTTCTAAGACAACGCGGGCTCCATGGCGGGCGGGCGTCTTTTGCGCCATGTCCAGCGCGAGTGCGTCCGTGAGTCCCCAGAGCTCGCGCGAGCCTCTGTGTGCCAGACCCTCACAGGAGATCCTGGGAATCCGCCTTCGCTCGCCCTCGGGAAAGCCCCAGGGCCTGTGACCCAGTTCCCTTCGGACTCCCCCCGCTTCCCGTCGTGGCGGCTCGTGCTCATCGGGCTTGCAGCTCGGCGCAGGCGGGAGGTAACAATTAGGAAAGAAGGGCTGGATGGATGGATGGATGGAGGGAAAGAAGGAGGAGGAGGAGGAGGAGGAGGTGGAGGAGGACCATCACCTGGCTAAGGGGGAGGCTAGGGGTTGGCCGACCCGACCCTAACCCGAAACCTCGTGGCACTGGGCCACATGTTGTACTCCACAGCGGCCTCGGCCGCTGAGACGGCAGTGCGCTGCCGACTCTGAATACGGTGCTGGGGCCTGGTGTGGCACTGCACGCTAGGCCGCAGCAGCACCGAGGGGGTTGAGCCACAGTCGGGGCGGACTGGCAACCCGAGTCCACCCCCGTGCTCAGGGGCCCCCGTGGGATTCCTCCTTGTTGACGGTACACCAAGGCTCTGAAAACCGTGCCATACGATTACGGCTCCGGCCATGGGAGGAGGCAACTCCATACCGCTGCCTGCAACGTTCATGCGGACATCTACCCTGGCTGGAGCTGTGAAAGCTCCAACCAGGGGACGAATGAAGAGGGGAGGGGATGGAGGGAGGACGAGGACGAGGACGGATGGAGGAGAAGAGACATGAGGGTGCAAAAAGGATGTGCGATCGGATGGGCGAGTAGTCGTCGTCGCAGACTTCGTCGGCGTCACGGTGGACATCGTCGGCGTCGGCGTCGGCGTCGGCAACGTCGTCGTCGTCGTCGACGCCGTCGGCGTCGTCGTCGGCAGCGTCGCGGCAGACACCGTCGGCGTCGCGGTAGACATCAGCGGCGTCGCCGCCGCCGAGTCGGGGCCGGCCGCCCCGAGCCCCCGCAGGGCGCCCGCTGTCGAGAGGCCGCCTGGCGCAGCCGCGGCAGCAGCTGCTCCTTCGCGCAGGCGGCCACCCCGAGGCTCCTGGGCGCTGGGCAGCGGCGGCCCCTGCCCCCCCCCCCCGCCTCGGCGGGCGGGTGGCAGTTGGGGGGGTGGCCCACCACTGGACAGACCCCCTTTAGCAAAACGCGGTTCAGTGAAAACGACCCGAGGCCCAAACCTGGCGGGCGCAAGCCTGGAAAATAACGGCCACGGCGCCCTCTCGAGAACCGAAAACGGACAATTCACTCATCGACGTGCCACTGTTGGGGGTTCTGTCCACCCCCGACACTGGGGGGGCGAAGAGCAAGGCCCCACAGTGGGGCCAGATGGGGGGGACCCAACTGTGGGCGACCCACACGAGGCCCTGTGCTTCACCCCCCAGCTGGGCCACCCCCCATCACCACCCCCCCCACGAACCTCCTCTCGCTGCGAAGGCCAGGGACCGATCGCGTGGACCCCCCCTGGGCGATCCACGAAGCCGAATCACAAGAAGAAGCCCCTCCACCTCTGCTTTTCGCGGCACGGGAGGTCTGCATCTGACCGCCAGCTTTGGACACCTCCTCTTCCTGCGTGGTGCCAGGGTGTGCGCTCCTCCAGGCGGCGCCACGCTTTCGCCACAAGGGCTTCCCCGGAGAGCCCGGCCCCTCCTTCCGGACCGGCGTCTCGCCCCGAACCGTCTCCGGATGGCTTCTTCTCCTCCTCCCCCTCCCCCTCCTCCCACGGCGCATCCACATTCGCCACGCCGGCCCCCCGGGGGATCTCGAGCACTTCCTGGGGGCAGACCTTTCGCACCGAGTCGTTTTTCTTTGTGGGACGGCCCCGGGGCCGGGGAGACGGCTCCTCCCACAGAAGAAGTAGAAGCGGCATCTCCTATAGCATTTCGCAGCTCTGCGCGGATGCCTTCGATCGGCGCTGGACCCCCTTCCCCGGCGCGCGGAGCGCGCCCACGACGGCAACGGAGGTGCCGCAGGGGTGACCAAAGGCGGATCCCAAAAATCTGCTGGGAAATTCTACGCCTTTCACTTTGTGGTCAATCTTGCCGTGCGCTCTTCGACCCCAGGGGCCTTAAATCGACGGGAAGCATCTGGCTACACGCAAGAGTGACCCTAGGTAAGAATGACCTTCGGTGCGCGGCTTTTTGGGGTGCCGCGGGGGAACCAACACACGAGCGCGCAAGACGGTACTATATCGCATCGGCTTCGGCGATCCGGGAACCCCAAAGGGCGGGCACCAAAGATCGCTCCGGCGAAGGGACACTCTGACGTGCGTAGAAAAAGAAACCCTCCCTAGCGCGGCGAGCGCACCAGGGGCGGCGCCAGAGGCACCGCCAAGGGGGCCCAGCGCGGATCCGAGAAAGCCGCCGCGTTATTTGTGTCGTCGCGATATTTTCGTTGCGGTGCCCGTGGTTGCTGCAGGGGGTGGGGGGCGTGTGATGGTCCTGGCGAGCCCGCGCAGGGCGGCTGCCGGCAGCGCGCTCAGCAGCAGCGTGCCGAAGCTGTCGCCGCCGGCCGCGGCGCCTGCGGGCCCCAGGGGGGTAACTCCAAAAGGTTCGTAACCATATATATATATATACACATATGATCCTGTATGTGTATATATATCTATATATATATATATAACCCCTCCAACAGCGGCGAAACTTCGCCGGCCCCCTTGTGGGGCCAACAGGCTGTGGGCCGAAGTGCGCTGCTCCCTGCACCAGTTGCAGTTTCAAGTCTCCAGTGTTCCAGTCCTGCTTTCTGCTTCCTATTCTTGAAGTCCGCGCGAGGGGGGGGAGCCCCAAACCACCCGGCTACCACGCCCGGATCGCGTGCTCTGAATTCCCGGGGGGGGCGTGGAACACCCAATAATACGTGAGATTCGCGCACCCGAGGCCGTAATCCCTTGTAAATGACGCGGTCCTCGCGTCCCCAAGGCCACCCTTGCACAGCACGCCATATTCGCATTGCCGACGCCAAGAGTGCTCCAAGGCGCCCGAAGATGGTTCCAGGACGGCCAAAGAGGGCCCAAAGAGGCCCCAAGCGAGCTCCAAGAGGCCTCCTGAGAGATCCCCAAGATGGCACATTCGCTGATTTTACAGAAAACGTTTTGGAAGGACTTTGGCATTCCCGCATGTTCGGCTTCCCGATTCTCCAAGACGGCTCCAGAAGCTCCCAAGACCGCACCAAGACAGCCCAAGAGGCCTCCAAGAGGACCCCAAGACGACCCAAGATGCCTCCAAGAGGGCCCCAAGACGGACCAAGAGGCCTCCAAGATGGCCTAAAAAGCGCTCAAGAGGGCCCAAGAGGGCCCCAAGACGGCCCCTAGAGGGGCCGAAGCAGGGGACCACGAACCGACAACTCTATATTTGTGCGCCGAGAAGCCCCCAGGAGGCCCCAAGAGGGTTCAAGCGGGCCCCAAGAGACCCCAAGAGGCGCCCAAGACGCGCCCGAGAGGCTTCCAAAAGGCCCAACAGATACCCCACGAGGCCCCTCAGAGGCGCCCAAACCGCCTCCAAGAGGCCCCCGAGAGGTTCCCCACGACACCCCAAGACATATACAAGAGGCCTCAGACCCACAACCCAACAACGAAGGCGGGATGGGCCGAAGGCCACTAGGATCCGCCGCCCCCTGCTGGCTTGCCACAAGGGTGCCCAGCGTGCTGAATCCTACCGCTCTTGTTTTTGGTTCTTTTCCGAAAGACCTCGCCCGTGGGCTTCGGCCCGTCCCGCCAGCCACCCGGAAGGCGCCCAATTCCCAGAACTATTTCACCAAGACGGCCCAGGATGGCCTCCGAGACCGCCAAGATGGCCCAAGATGGCCTCCAAGACGGTTGCGATCACCCCAAGATGCCTCCAAGACGCCCAAGATGGCCTCCAAGACGGCCCAAAATAGCCTCAAGATGGCCCAGGAGGCCTCCAAGGTGTCTTCCAGGAAGGCCCGAAGAGACCAACATCATGGATGTGCCTTAGGTTTTTGAAGGATTGTGTCATTTGCGTCTCTTCGGTCCTCCGACGGTCCAAGACGGCCCAACAGCCCCCAAAGATCGCCCCAAGATCGCCTAAGAGGCCTCCAAGAGGGCCCCTGAACGGCTCAAGAGGTCCCAAGACTGTCCCAAGAGAGCCCCAAGACGGCCCACGAGGACTCCAAGACGCCCAATAGGCCCACTTGGTCTCCAAGACGGCCCTGGAGCACCCCAATAGAGTCCCAAATCAGCCCAGAGAGGCCCTCAAGACGGCTTCCGACTGCGTCCGACGGGACAGGAGGCCATCAAGACGGCCCAAGATTGCTCCAAGATGGCCCACGACGGCCCAAGAGGCCCCCGAGAGGTCTCCAAGACAGGCCCAGAAGCCTCGAAGAGGTCTTCCAGGAAGGCCCGAAGAGGCACAAATCATTGATTTTCCTTTTTTGGCATCGAAACGGCCCAAGAGGCCCCAAAGACTGCCCCAAGAGGGCCCTAAGATTGCCAACGAGGCCTCCCAGACGCCCAAGATGGCCTCCAAGTCGGCCCTGGAGCACACCAGTAGAGCCCCAAATTAGCCTAGAGAGGTCCAACGGGCCATCAAAATGGCTCCATCACGGCTCCAAGATGGCCCAAGACGGACCAAGAGGCCCCCAAGAGGTTTCCAAGACGGCCCCAGAGGCCTCCAAGAGGTCCTCCAGCAAGGCCCGAAATCATTGATTATCATATGTTGTTGAAGGACTTTGGCATTGGCTTCTCTTCGGCCTTCCGACGGCCCGAGACGGCCCAAGAGCCTTCAAAGGTCGCCCCAAGATCGCCCAAGCGGCCTCCAAGATGGCCCCAGGACGGCCCGAGAAGCCCCCAAAACTCCAAGAGGGTCCCAAGACAGCCAACGAATCCCCCAAGACACCCAAAATGGCTTCCAAGACTGGAGCTCCCCAAGAGGGCCCCAAGTCGACCCAGAGAGGCCCTCAAGACGGCTTCAGACGGGGTCAAACGGGCCAGGAGGCCATCAAGACGGCCCAAGATGGCTCCAAGAGGTCCCCAAGACGGCCCCAGAGGCCCCCAAGGGCGCCTCCAGGAAGACCCGAAGGTGCCAAAATCCTTGATGTGCCTTAGGTTGTTGAATGAATTTGGCGTATGCTCTTTTCGATCTTCCAACTGCCCGGGACGGCCCACGAGCCCCCAAATATCGCCCAAGAGGCCTCCAGGAGGCCCCAAGAGGGCACCCAGACGGCCCAACAGGCCTCCAAGACGCCCAATATGATCTCCAAGACGGCCCTGGAGCACCCCAAAAGGGTTCAAGCGGGCCCAGAGAGGCCCCGAAGACGGCGACCGACGGCGTCGGACGGGCCAGGAATGCCCTGAGACGGCCCAAGAGGCCCCCGAGAAGCCCCCAAAGGCCCCCAAGAGGCCCCAGGAGGCCCCCAAGATGCCTCCAAGAGGCTCCCAGGAAGCTCCCAGGAGGCCCCAAGAGTGCCCCCAGAGGCTCCCAAGATGCCCACTCCTCCTCTTCATCCTCCTCCTCCTCCTCCTCCTCCTCCTCCTCTTCCTCCTCCTTTTTTCCATCCTTCTGCTGCTCCTCCTCCTCCTCCTCCTCCTCCTCCTCCTCCTCCATCTCCTCCCCCTACTTATCGTGCTGTTCCCCGCCATCCTCCCCCAAGTGTTCCCAGAAGGGGTTCCGCAAAAGTTGGGGGAACACATGGTCCGATAGCTTGGCAAAGCTATTGCCACAACGCTCGGACACATGTGCGACTTAAAACCTCGTGCTTCCTCAAGCGTTTCCTGAAGGCGTTCCAAACCGACTCGGGGAACAGCTGGCCCGATTGCTTGGCCAAGCTCTAGCCTAGCTGTCGGCCACGTAGGCGCTTTCACAAGGGCAGGGGGCGGCGGTGATTCGCAATAGGCGTCTTCGATAACGCTAACGTCTCGATATACGCTGATGGTTCCTATCCGCCCCTGCATGATGTTTCCAGATGCGCCAAGGCAGCGTCGAAACGAACCGACGCGACTCTGATATATCCAATTATGATAGAGGGGGCAGGCGGCAGGGGGCGAAGCGCTTACTCATAATGTGCCCCTCTCGGCGGCAGGCGCTGATGATCGTGGGGGAGATGAGGAGCCCTGATGGTGATGATGCTGATGATGATGCTGATAATGATGATGACGATGATGACGATGATGACGAAGATGATGGTGATTAGGGGGATGGGCGAGGAGGGGAGGGACGAGTTATCTTGCCAGGCGAGAGCTTAGGGGGGGCGTCGTTAAAGACCCCTTGTGGTTGGAGCATCGCTTAACCGACCCCGGTTCCCATGGGTGTGGCCTGTGCTCCACCGGCCGACTTGCCCCCCTGGATTGGGATCTAGGCTGTTTCCTTCGGGTTTCGAGGGATACATCCCCAGCTGGGGTGGTGAAATGGTGGGGGTCTGGATGGGGATGGGGATGGGGGTCGGTGAAACGATGCGGAGGGTTGGCGACATGATCTTTTGTCTCCCAGCGCGATCATCCCTGCTCGACTCAACGATGCACCCGCATGTTTTGGCGTGGCACTGCTGCTCGGCGGGCGAACGACGCTTGACGACATCTGAGCCGGAGCCCGGCTAGATCACACTCCACGAACAGGCGCCGGCTGGAAGATCGCGCGACTCGCTCGCAGCCCCCTCCTCTCTCCGCTCAGGCCCAGCAAGTAGCACCCCGTTGGACGAGGATGTCCTGCGATGACGCGCTCAGGGCGCGGGAGGAGGTGGAGAGGAAGGGAAGGAGGAGGAGGAGGAAGAGGAGAAGGAGGAGGAGGAGTAGGAATGGAGGGAGGGAGGGAGAGGAAGAGTACCAACTGCATCCGCATGCCCGGCAGTCATGCCCGGGATGGGACCATGGGCTGGCACAGGTGTCCCGGGCTCAAATAGAATCCCCCCGTGTGGGTCGTTCCCAAAACCTTGAATCCAGTCATCCAGTCGGCTTGGCAATCTGAAAAGATCGCGCCGCATCGGCACATAACGGGGGGTATCGCGACTCCGAACAACAACTGTGTGGGTCTTTCGCCTCTCGGCTTGACCAAGAAATCAAAGCCAAATTGGAGGATACACGACTGGGGGGCGTCCATCCTCTGGCGCCGTCCCTGGCGTGCTCCGCACGCCAGGGCGGAGGGTCCCAACGCCGATCCAAGGAATCCCACAAAAGCTCCGAACATTTACGCTTATGCAACCGTCCTCGTTTTGAATAGACAGCGCCCCGCGTCTCCTCCTCCTTCCTTCGTTCCTCCTCCCCCTCCTCCCTCCTCTCCTCCTCCCCCTCCTCCCTCCTCCCCCTCCTTGCCTTTGCTCCCGGCACACCTCTCACGCGTTTCGTAGCCCCATAGGGAGCTCCACCGAAGGCCCCACTGGGAGTGTTCGCATGCGGTTCCTTCACCCAGGGCAGCGTTTCGTGGTCCCATAGGGAGCTCCACCGAAGGCCCCAGTGGCGGTGTTCGCATGCGGTCCCCCCACCCTGGACAGCGTTTCGTGGCCCCATCGGGAGCTCCACCGAAGGCCCCAGTGGCGGTGTTCGCATGCGGGTCCCCCACCCTGGACAGCGC